CTGTCGGCGACCATGACCTGACGCTCGGGCTATCCACCTGAACCGGGCCTTCCTGCCCCTCTGCACTTGCGCTGCCACCCCCGTCCTCCACAATCTCCGGTTCAACTGGTTGTAGAACTCGGCCATGAACCATCCCCCACTGTGGAGGAGCGATGGGCTGCGCCTCTCGGTTGGCCTGACTCGGAACCTTCTTGCGCACGTCCTGCAACCATAAGGTAAAGTGCTTCACCGTCGCCATGTCGTCGACTAGGTCGTGCACTCCATAGGTCCCCCGGATCCTCTTGGCCACCGTCTTCTGGGCCTCAAAAGTCAGCCTGCGGGTGGTCGTCGCGTAGCCTTCATCAACTGATGGCCTCCAGCGACCCCAACGGCGTCTGTCCTCCTTCTCCACCCCGCAGACCGCTGCCCAGCTCATCATGGTGATCCGCTCTGAATGCTCTGAGAAATAAGCCGTGGACTCCGGGAGCAACAACGGCACCTTCTCGCCCTCACCGTCCACCAACCTCGAAGGCAGCTCAGCCAACAAGGCCCGTGAGTAGGCCATGGCATCCGCGTACTTCATCATCGACTTCCGGAAGCCGTCCAGCTGGTGGTTCGGACGTGCCATCAGGTAGTCCCTCATGCCCGTGCCAGCTTCCTTTCCCATGCCCACGAAGATCTCCAGACCTACCCTGAGCCAATCCCTACACACTAAGTATGCCGAGCTGCTGACGAAAATCTGAACAACTTCAACTCGTCTTCCAGCCCCCGTTGTTTTGGAGCGGGTGATATCCGCCTCAAACCCAGTGGTCGGGTCATAGGAGATGCTGGCCGGAGGGATCCCCTCGGCGTCGTGACACCTGAGCGCTCCCCATAGTTTCAAGAGCTTGTACCATGCGAAGGTCCTCTTGTAGGGGTGCAAGTCGCTATCCATGAAATGGCGCGGTCAAGCGCCCTCACAACTTCCACCGGGAGCCGGGCCGCCTTGACGGTGGGCTTGGGCAGCCAGTGGTCCCCACGCTCCAGCTCCAACAGAAAATGTTGGAGAGAGGCAGCACTCGTGATCTTCTGCTCCTGCGGGATTTCGGCCGACATTTCCAGAAAAGCTACGGCCTTAAAGAAGGACCCTGGCACCGTTTTGCCGCATGGTTCTTCCATTCGAAGAGCTATGTAAGCTATTAAATCACCTTCATGCCGAAGCCAGGGAACACGGTAAATGCTTTTCATGTACTCGTGCAAGCGCTTGCCGTGAAGAACATGTTGACGTATGGTCGACCCCCGTCTTCCCATCGCAAACCGGTTCACGAAGTACTTCAATCCCTGGGGACCTCTCTTCTCGCCATCGATCAAGCCCGTCACCTCCAGGAGCTGGATCAGCATGCCCACCCACCGTTCTCGTTCTTTATCTTCTACCACCCTACGCTGGTCCTCGGTGTCGCATCCATGTAGAAGACGTTCTCCTCGAGTGCGCCATGACACCCTCGGCAAACCTTTTCTCGCCACCACCATGGACGTGCCAATGCTCGCCTCTCCGTAGGAGGTCTCATTGATCTTGCGGTTGATCAGGTCCTGATCCTTGTACAGCAATCGCTGGTGCTGCAAGAACAAATGGTCTTCGAGGTCCAGCTTGGTTCTCTGTCTTTTGGCTTCTCGTTGAAGCCAACTAAATTCCCGCTCCGTCCAGGCCTCGGCCACGAGGGGGATCAAGCCGCGGACCTCCTCCTCGTTCATGCCATGAAAGAAAGCCAGGGTGGACTTCTCCCACCCCAGCTCCAACAGCTGCCCAAGGCAGCCCGGCTCCATCGAGGCACCTTGGCCCCAATCCATTTGAGCCTCAACTACGTTTGCCAGACACATTGCGTCGGACGCCGGCTTCGACTTCATATGCATCTAATCAATGTAGTGCCCTTTTCTCCTTTCGTTTGGTTGATGGCCCACGGGTATCCTTTTGCTTGTTCTGTTGGTTTGGTTGCATCTAGGGTGGGTTGTATGAAGCTACCCATTGCAGCCCCGCGACATGAAGACCAGGCTGGCGGAGGTGCAAAGCAACAGAACCCAGCTGCTGGCGCGCCTTCAAATCGACCGGGAACCAATTGAGAGAATGTTCATCGGGTGAGGTGGTCAATTGTCAATCGAAACAAGTAGAGCTTTTGAGCGTCAACGCATAGCCCTTGCCGTCATATGCATCAGCAATTTTGGGGGATCCCAAGCAATTGAAATACGCTGTTACACGTAATATACCAGTACCTCCTGTATAGCTTTGTCAGAATGGCACAACATCATCCAATGTCGATTGAATGACTCTAGTCATCCCAGGCGGAGAAGCTACTAGTTCGCCATGCAACCTCTCTCGGCCCAACGCAGCGCTTCGAGACCTCAGACCTTGCGACCCTCGAAGCGCTGAAATGCATGGCGCATGGCCCTGACTGAACTCGCTGGGGCAGTTCTCGCAGTTCGCTTCGGCCACAGCGGGGTCAAACAAAAATTGGATGTCAGGGGTCAAACGTCACTTGACTGGCAGCGTAGAACAACGAGAGGGTTTGTTCAACTGTGTCTTTGAGATCCCAACTCCAGAAAATTTCAAGGGATGGCCCATGCCATGCTGCTTTTTGGCACAACTATCTAATTGCAAACCACACTAAGTCACCGTGACCTTGGAGGCGGCTTCAGTTTCGAAAGTTTTCTTGCACAGCTTGGATCTGCAAATGGCTGGGAGCAAAGGATTGTAAGTGCACCTTCTGCCAAAAGATGGGATGCGTTTGTGACATGCCACTGCCGGAAAAGGCATCTGTCTGAATCCACCTGGAACAAAAGAGGTGAGTCATGGTGATTCAAAATGTTCCTGCTCTCCATGGAAGAATTGGAGCAATCTTTTTGTGGATTCAGCGATTCACTGTGATTTATGGCATGATCACAGCAAACAAAGTTGTCCGGCTGACAAAAAGAAGTTTCTCTAAGCACACAAATCGTGGTAGCAGTGAATTCCAATATCTTCAGATCCCAGTCAGGGAGACTCTTTTCATCGTTTTTGGCCAGGTTCTTGACAGATCCCTGTCATCTGCACGGCTCTTTCTCCAAAGAAATGTTCCACGGCAAAGAGCCAATGACCACAACCTGACATCTGCGCGGATGTCTGGATGGCATTGCGCGTGACATGCGAGTGTTGAACATGCAGCCATGGAGTAAGGCTGCAAATTACTACCATCAGGCGGTTTGATGTGGGACATGTTTGATCTTGCCGGTTGAACATATATCGAACAGCAATAAGTAAGCCTCCAAAATGTTGAATTGTATCAGCATCGATGTCATTGGGACCCTAATTCAAACATCCATATCCAAATTTGCTGGACAAGCTTTGCTACATTCATCGGTCTTCTGTGGTAGGCAAAGAAACAAAACATCTCCAAAAACAATTGGAAGCGCCGAGTGTTTGCAGGAAAATGATGCTGCGATGGTTTGAATCTACCACGCAACAAACGGCACAGATTGAACATGACGGATCACAACAACATCATGAACCAGCATCCGCTCCACCACATTTTGGAGCTCAACCTTGGAGCTAGGTTGGTCCGAAGCTTGGAGGTTCCTTTCAGCCAAACGGAAGGCGTTTCCCGTGCCGGGAGGTGAAGATGCGCCGAGTGTCCAAAAAATCAACCACACTGCTCTTCTTGTATTTGTTTCTTCTTGCTGAACCAAACTGTTCCAATGGAGGCATTGCACAGCTGCTTCTTTCCAAGAAAACTCTGGGACACATGGAAATGCCGAAGCATCAAATTGTGTGCCGTCACTGTTAATGGAATCCAGCACCAAAGGCTGGCTGTCCTCCCTCCTGGAATGCCATCAGGCTCTTCTGGGTGAGGACCCAAGCACTCACACTACTACTAACACTTACCTGGTGGCAGCTCACGACTCAGAAGAACATCTGGAGCTCTGCGATAAGGCAGAAACTCCAGTGCCTGGTGGTGGCACTCCAACCCAAACATCAGCTGCTGCCAGTGACTCCTGGGCGTTCCCTTTCTGAAGTGCCACTCCTTTTGGTTTCATCAACTGCAGTTGGTCCAATACTACGACGATAACACACACACAACCCAAGTATTACCCATCTTCCACCAAAACACACATTGTGGGGTCCTTGTATACTTTCAATTACTTTCACGCATTATATGAGAGGCAGCATTCGTTGAAATTGAGGTGCGTGCCAAGAACACCGGGGCTGCAAACACTTGTCACACCTCTCCAAATAGGCATAGCACGTTTGCAGCGCCTCTTCTGCTTGGAGATGGAAGATGTGCACGAATTGGTCAAACTCATAACACCAGCTGAATCAATATGTTCAAGATCCACTGCCAAGGCCAAACATGTGCAAAACTGCGCGCCTTTTTTGTTTTTCGTGGGGAATGGATTCGTTGTATGATATCAGCTGCCCAAAGGACACGAGCTCCATATACATTGCAAGGGAGCTCTTACAGTGGTGGCACTCCAACCCAAATATCAGCTCCTGCTAGTTGTCGAAGGAAGCGAAGGACCAACTTGGCCAATATGTTTTCTATCTATGAGTAGCCCACGTAAAGCATCCTACAAAGCACTGACACTGTATCTGGAATCAATATCTTAAGCATGTCATTGTTGTTTGAGGTGCTGACATTGAGGTGCGTGCTAAGAACACGCGGCATTCAAAATATGTGACGAATTCTATCAAAATCTGGACAGTCAGCGTAGGAACTGGTCTATATCTGCAAACTTCTGTTGCCCCATCACCAGTGATCACAAACCTGACAGCACTTTATCATAATCGTTTGCCGTGAATTATCATTTGCAGCAATTCCAGTGGTCGACGTAATTCAGAACGTTCAAAGAACACTGATGAAGGACATCTTGTATAACATCAAACATTCTATTCTATATATTCTATTGTACAACAGTGTTTTGCTTTTTTTCCTAAGCATGATACAGGCCGCTGCAACATCTTGCAACCGATCACCGGGTACCAAAAAGAACTGTGACGCCGCTACTGGAACGCATCAATCCGAATAGTACCCTGGAGCGGTGTCGGGAATGCTCCAGGAGTCTGCTTGCACTGTCATCTTCCTGCCCTTGCGGCGGCAATGCTTCCCTGCGCGACGAATCTCCTGGAGCTTGTGGCCGTGGCTGTGGATGCACGCTGGCGGGCTAAAGACGGCCACTGGCATGTCTGGTTGGAAGGCAATCTTCAACACAGTCTCAGGTCCCGGCACAAACTCTATGGAGGTCAGCTTTGTGGGGACTTGTTCGCCAACCATGACCTCGTCGCCAACTTTCAGCTCTGCTGCTGCGACCTGGAACAGGAAAAAGATTGCTTGCCATGCAAACAATTCTGATCTCTATAGAACAAAGACACAAACAAGGATCGAAGTTATGTTTGGTTCTGACAAGGTACTAAATGACCATTGCCCAAGACCACACGATGGTCCGGTGTTACCTGTAGCTTGGCCTCCTGGGCATGGAGGAGCAGAGTGGCGCGTGCAGCTTGCTTCTCTGGTGGGAGTGCAACCTGCAAAACGGTGGTCCAGTCAGCTGCAAGGATCTGAGACCCTTTGTACCTGAGATGATCAGTGGTGATCTGTGTGTACAGTCGCTGTGCGGAAGGGGCGGGCTCGCACAGCTCGTTTCTTTTTGGACTGTGGGTACATTTGGCAACTTAACTTGCACTATTCAATCCTGGGCCAAATTGACAAAGACTAAATAGGAGCAACTGGGAGAAGCTCTGAGTTTATCAATCAAAGCGGAGATGCAAATCAGCCCCACTCAGAAATTGGCCGCTGGGCGTCTTGAAGAGCGCGTCCGGCATAAAGCAGAAGGGGCCCCCGGTGCCTACAGAGAAGCAGGAAGTTGCACTGATGGCACTGCTGATCTCACTCTCTTCCTGGATCAGGAACCAAGATCCTGAGCCATCGTTCAAATCTGCCTGGCAGGGGCAGGATTGGTCACTTTCCTGCCATCCATCCTTGGCACTATGCCTCGTTGACTTGAAGTCATCCACGTCCTCCTTCATCTTCAAGTTGCCATTGGTGGTCAAGCGACCATACTTCAAGTTCATCTCGTGTAGATCCTTCCTTACATTCAGCAGTTCTCTCTGCAACTCCAGCTTCTCAGCCGCTGCTTTCATGCTGCATGTTTCATTTTTCAATCTGAACCCCTGCACTTCATCCCTCAGTTTCTTCAATTCCCTCTCCAACATCTTAACCTTCTTGTCAGACTCCACGAGTTTCTCCTTGAAATGCATCATTGGAAGCGTGTGCTCCTCCATCATATCACTCTCCCGTCTTTCACAAAACTTTTTTGAGGCTGAAGATTCGTACTCTACCTTCTTCAATCTCTCGCGAATCTCTATCACCTGACATCTCCAGTGGTCATTTTGTGAACTCGGCTTCGGCAACTCTTCTTTCGTCTGCAAGCTGTCCTTCAGCAATTGCATCATTTCTTCTTTCAAGCGCCGTGAGGCCAAAAGGGCTTGCGCTTGTCCTTCAACATGTCTGAAGTCCACAACAGCCGCTATTTCCCCCAAACCAGGAGGAAGCGATGCCCACATTTGGCCACAAAAGAGTTCGCACCACTTGACTTCCTGCCCTGGCTTCTTCACCTGGTTCCAACCTACCATGGCATGTTGCGTCAACGTGCACAACTGCTGCAACTTTGATGTGTCTTGTTCAGACAGCGTGGAGCTGCCACCTGTGATCCGAGCCCGAAGTTCTCGGAGCAAAAGGCGAAGGACTTCGGTGGCCTCTGGGATATTGGTGTTCTTCAATGACTCTAAAGCCGTGGAAAGTTGCTGAAGGTCTGCTCCCAGAGCCTCCAAAATGCATTTCTGAACGCCATAAAGCAAGAAATTTGCCTTGGAATTCAGGTGCAGCACGTCGTTGACCTTGTCCAGGTCCTCTCGCACCATGCTCTCGGAGATCCTGGCGATCCAAGCCTCGAACCCTCGGAGCTGCAACACTCTCAGCGTCCCATTGTCCCCGAAGATCTGATACCGCTTGTGTAGCTGACCAAGTTGGTGGCGAAACCGTTGCGCTTCACCCTTGGTCAAAAAAAGTGCGGCAAAAAGCACAGCAACCTTTTGAAGATCCACAGAGTAAGCTTGAAGGTCTATGTAACAGTAAAACATCTTCAAACGCCAAAGAATAGTTTACCTTGCTGACACCATTCCTCAATTTGAACCACGCCTGGTTTTTGATGGTTTTTGCCCTCCTTCTCCTGACCAAGTCACCTCTGTCAAACCCAGCGGCATGAAAGGCTCCTGAGGGCGCGTGGAGACAGTGGGTGAAGATTTGGCAGCAAGGTGGAAAATTACAAAATACCTGAGCCCGCTCTAGGCCGGAGGCCATCGCTCTTGGGTCTTAGGTTGGAGGCGCCATTCCTACTATAGACTTTATGGTCGAGTCATATCTTATTAAAGAATCTTTCGGTTGGAGGCCATCGCAAGAATGTTGGCTGGAGTGAGGTGCTGGCTGAAAGATGTCCTACATTGGGAAGTACCAGATTTTAGTATGAGCAAGGGTGACAGCGTCAAATGGTTTGCTGGACCATGAAACCTGTTTCAATCTGCTTCATATATGGCAGATCTGACCTGCGTACCCACCTTGCATTTCAAGACATTCTTTCACTTCAGCTCCCGCTCCTGCAACGCGTCCATCAGCGCCAGTCGTGGCACACACACTTGCCATTGCGCTTGTGACAGGAGATCTCTCAAGTCCCCAAAGGCCACTTCGTAGTCCACAGGACCAGGAGGACCTTGACCACGACTCTGCCGCAATGCCCATATTTGCGCGCAAAACTGAGTACACCACCCTCTCACACTCTTACGTTGGTCCCACTGATCAATTGCGGTTCGCAGCAACCCGCACAAATATCGTAACCTTGATGTGTCTTGTTCAGACAGTGTGGAGCTGCCACCTGTGATCCGAGCCCAAAGTTCTCGGAGCAAAAGGTGAAGGACTTCGGTGGCCTCTTGGGTTTCAGCTTGCAAAGACGTCAGGGCGGCCAAACGCCGCTGAAGTAGATCTCTCAAAACCTCCAGGTTGTTTTTGATGATGGAAGAAACATGAGCGCAATCTCTAGAGTTTAGCACAGCACTCACCTTCTGCAGATCTTCTCGTACGTCGTCCTCGTAGATCCCGGCGATCCAAGCCTCGAACTCTTCGATGCCACGAAGCTTGAAATAACTTGGCAAAGGCTCATTGATGCCGTACCTGGTGTGCAACTCACTTAGCTGACCAAAATGTTGGCTTGCGGGTTCCTGAGCGCGGTCCAAAGGTGAGATGTACTTGTTTTCGGTCTTTGCGAAACATGCGAAACCGGAACAAAACAACTCAGCAGGTCTTTTGTCCATTTCAACACGAAGTCCATCAAACATGGAACCACCACTTGCGCCGTTTGTCACAAATAAAGCTGACAAGGCGCCGCCATGAGAAGACCTTCGGCTCTAGGGCTTTTTGGTCAAGGGCAGCCGAGGCGCATGATGCGCGAGCTTCAGCCGAGAGTGATACGGCAACAGTGGCACAGTGGCTCATTGATCCTGAATGTTCGGTAGCCAAATGAAAGTACTGAGCTGGCATGACTTCCATCGCACGTGGGAAACACAGATTTGCCAAACTATCTGGCTCGGCTCGCTTGCGGGCCTCCAATGGCCATCCAGCGACACTGCCTCAAGATCGGCCGTTCTGACCTGGACCTCCTGGAGGGTTGTGGGGAAGGCATCGTCAGCATGCAAACAAGCTACATAATACAGCTATATATGTTGAGCGTCCAAATATGGTATAATACCTTCGGTCTTGGAACTAGCGAAGAGCGTTGCTCTAGTTTCGCAGGTCTGTTGGAGCTGAAGAGCGTTGCTTGGAGTCCAACGCTCGGAACCCGAAGCGTTTCAGATCGCCAAGGTTGGACTTGAAGCTCGAAACACGCACGCACGTGGTCGTAAGTCATCAGGACGTGGATTTTCGGGCTCAAGCGGTCCCAGTTGCGAAACATGTAAAACATGGCCAAGGCAAGCATGTCAATTTGGATTATGGTTTCGGCGAATCCTGGGTGTCCATCAGCCAGGCCACACCTCTTCGAAACTTACGTGCAGTGCAAACATGAGATTCAACGGGTTTACCTGAAGAGTACATACGTGTCTGCGTTCCAAACGTTTTGGTTCTTCGGAATTTCCACGTCCCCGCAAAACTCGGATCAGCTGGCCGCTTGGAGATGCCTTTTGTAGACCGCCTGAATCCTCCGCGTTCACTGGGCAGCGGAACAGCAGTGCAGGTCGGCGAGGGCCTGACGCAAACATATTGGACCACACCAAACCATGCATGGACCACATGGATGAGGATGAAGAGTGATCTCCGCACATCCTTTACATATGTCCCTCGGCCCAAAGAACACCCCAGGGTGTCACTGTTTTGGGCATAGTTGTGGCAACAAAACTATTTGAGGCTTACCTTCATTGCCTTTCATGGCTTTGCTGCAACAAATGCAACCTTTATAACACTACCAAAGTACCAACAAAAGAGGGGATATCCAGAAATACAGAGCAGCAACCAAACCTGACCTTCCATTTGTTCTCCCTTCATCTTTGTGGCACCGGAATCCCACCATCTTTCGGAGGCGGGGTGGATTGTTACATCGTCGCATCATTGAAACACAAAACACATGGAACTGTTGGCCTATTGCGCGCACCTGAGAAAAGCCAATCGTGTGGCAAACAAAAGGACGACAAGAGTGTGCGATCGGCTGTATCGATCGGCTGACAGCTCAGAGCGTGCGCGTAAGCGCTATGGCTATGGAGTTACGATCCACGAACATTTCAACTATGTGTCCAACACCCTGGGATTCCAACAACTACTTAATGGTCTTTGCCAAACAACCATTGTGTGACTAAGGATTTTACACTACAAAACCAGGTCAACCATTTACTTCGTTGTCTCTGAAGGCTAGGGCCAGGCAACATTTTTAACATGGTCGCATGTGGTTTCGCAAGTCGAACTGTCTTGTTGATCTGCACCAAAGAGGGTCCCACATGGTCGACCAACGGAGCTTCTCAGAAGTTGGCCCACAACACATCCTGTTGCTTAAACAGTGTAGTAGGCCTTTGCCACCACCGTGAATGGCTTGAATTGAAAAATAGCTGCGAGGAAACTAATCTCACCCCAAGGCTAAGGCTATGACTATGAAAAGATTGCACCAACCAATACGAAGGCGGCTTAGTTTGAACAACAGTTCCCGCCATGGCCTGCGGAGAGCTCCATCACATAGATGATGGACTGACCTGGCTCCACATCATGTTCCACATGGACTGATTTCCAAGTGCATTTGTGTCGAGGAGGATTTTCTCCAAAGCAAACACGTCCATACGAAGGTTGGAAACAACAACAGGCAGCTCAGTCTAACAAGCCACAACAGTGAGTGCATCATTCAGTGGGATTTTGATCAATTGTAATTATTCTCGGAAGGTTGCCAAGCTCCCAAATGGATCTGGGCAAGTTACTCGCTTTACTGCCCTTGGATATCCAATCGCAAATAGCAAATATTGGAGAATTAAGTCGACCAATCATAATTCTCTGTTGTGGCAGAACAACTCAAACTCTTTCTCCCTCTCTCTGTTATATCGATGGCGTCCTCCCGTCCAAACCAGTCCGTACACACCTTCACAGCAAAGGTCAAGGCAAAATGCGGCGTCGCTTGCTGAGGGGCAAGCCCTTTGGACAGTCCCTTGCTAATGGAAAAAACACAAACTCATCCTTCTGTCCGGAAGGAGCACCTTCGAACCAAAAATGTTTACAATCCTCAGGCAACGAAGAATGACCTACTTTAGACATCTTTACACCACGCAGCCACATAAAAAAGGGCACTTATTTACTTACGAAGACTTTGCCTGTGGCTCGACGCAAACGCTACTGGTTGAGCTGACGGACAATGTGACTTCAACACCTTCAGTAGCTGCTGGATTAAAAGAAACTAAGCCACCGCATTAATGACATGGACATCAACAACACACCTGTGCGACCCAACGTCAGAGGGTGCAACAAATCGCGAGGCCTCAACAACTCCAAGAACTTCTCGGATCGCTTCTCAGACGTTGCCTGGTCGGCCGCTGCACCGCTTCAAGCAATCACTACTTGGAGTCCGAACTTCTGGTTCTTTCGAGCTGCAATGCTGCAATGCTTCGCAAAACATGTGCTGAACTCATCTTCAGAAGAATTGGAAGTACAGGGACTCGACCAGGCATTCTTTTCGACAAAACATCAGGCCAAGGAATTCTGCATGGAGCTGATTGGGCCTTACTTATAATTTTCAGGTCCGCTTCCTAGCCCTAGCTGCGGAATGTTGAGGCTGCCGGGGTGGCACATGGCAAACGAATAAACAACTCTTTTCATCCGTGATTTCTCAGCTCTTGGCTTCAGTAGATGTTTGTCGCGACCCCACTTGAGTTGTGTATATTTTTGTGGTGTGGGGCTTATACATGGGGTCTGTACCTACGCGGGTGCCTACGCCTGGGCTCCCCTCTCAAGCACGAGAGGTTCTCTTTGTTAGGTACCTACGCGGATGCCACATCAGGTGATGCGAAAAGAGCTATATAATCAGCTAGTAGTGGCCCGATGCGACCGGGTCACATCAGGTTCCTGTTTACAAGGCGTTTGCATCTTTGCCACCGATGGCCAGATAGATTTTTTTGTCAAGCCAATCCAATTACAGTGTGGAAGCAGCAGCACACAAGCAGCACACAACAAGCAGCAAACAATCAGCAGAAAACAAGAGGCAGCAGCAGCAGCAGCAGAGCAGCAGCAGCCAATAGAGTCTTGCCTACGCGCTGCTTCCGCGAGCGCCTACGCGGGGCCTACGCGAAAATAGGTCCATCGATTAGGTACCAAGACCCTTGAACAACTTTTAAAGAAGTCTGAATAAGAAAATCAATGCGTTAATTAAAAGTGTGCCTACGCAAGACTGCCTACGCAAGTCTTTCAACACCCACCTACGCAAAATGCTTACACGACGCCTACGTCCCAAGCAGAACAGCCTCAGCAACTTCTCAACAGTTCCCTTTTTGTATAAACGTAATCATTTGCAAAAAGAACGTGGCTCACTTGCAGGATGAGTATTGTGATCATGAGTCGGCACAGCACAGCAGCGAGCGCAACTCTTGGATCAGTTGTCAAAACGGTTCTGAAGCCGTGCGGTGACTGGCCAGAGTGTACTCTTTGCCAAGACATGCACAGGCTTCAGAGAAAACGTTGCAGATCCAGCCATGAACAAGTAAAGAACAACGTGTTCATTATGTGTATTATCAGAATGTCCCAGTATCGATCTTCTGAAAACACACCCGGTTAAAGCTGAGTTTCTAACTTCCAATGTCGGCTGCGTCACTTGGGATGATCGATGACGATCGGCAGTAGGCACAACGCATCGGCGTGCGCTACTTGATCAAGACCGCGCGGCCTTTGGCATCAACATGCTGCCAGAAAACGCACCAGTCAGGGAACAAGCAATCTCAATGTCATCTGTACAACTATTTCAATGTCAAACTGTCATCAGTGCGAAGACTGCCGGAGCTTTGGCAGTCGACTGGGACAGTGCGCCCATCCGAAGCATACGAGGCGTGGCCATGACCGTCGTCCGGGACAGCTTCATCCTCCTCAGCCTGTGAGGTCTGGCGGTTCTCGGCATCTGGCATGATGTGGCCACTATGAGCTTTTGGCAAAGCCTTCTTCCTCTTCAGGCCACGGCGCACTGGAGGTCTATCACGAGAACCTTTGCTGAGGATGGCATCTTGCGGAGTGAACCCAGCCACTGGATGATCCGGCTTAAAGGCCAACTTTAGCACGATAGTTGGTTCATTCTTCCTTTCCACATGTGTAAGGGTGGTTTCGGTCTCTTTCAGGATCACCTCGGCAGTGAGCTGTGATGGCTCACCAAACTGCGGACATGGATGATTCCAAATCAATGAATCTTTGCAGGAGGAATTCGAGCAAGGAAGTCCCTGATGAGAACTTGAGTAATTTGAGAGCACAACGACCTCTGGCAAACTAGAAACAATTTGTTGACAAACGACGATGGAAACAGCAAAGATAGTCAAAACATGTCAAAACTTTGAATCGAGTCCAGACACTTTGCTCCCTCGGCGCAAGTCTTCGGCCTTCACAGTCTTACTTCCAGGGACGCTGATGCGATGATCTGGGCTCACCACCAAACACGTGTTTCCTGCGCGCAGCTCGATGACGGACGGGATCTGATGCTGCTCCGGAGGGTGAAGCACTTCGACAACATCTCTTCCATTGGCGGCGACCACTTTGGCTCCTTGAAACAAAGACCTGGCCGGAACGAAGGCTTTTCCAAAGTCTTGGCAAATGACCTCAAAACAGGTCTCCGGCACAACGCAGCATGGGTCTGAAGTCACAAAGATCCATGAGTCATTGGAGCAGTCTGTGACCATAGACCCAGAGTCAGCATCGCTGTCTTCATCTTCAGAAGTAACAGTCGTGAGAGCCGCAGACTTTTGCACGGATGGAGCCTGGCATTCTTCTTGCTTGTTCTGCGGCTTCAGACTGGACTTCAGTTCGATCAGCTCCTCCCTCAACACCACGAGAGCTTCCTTCATCTGCAACTTGTCACCTTTCACTTCCAATACCTCTTCCCTCAACTTGAGCCGTTCCTCCTCCCACTTCTGCCGATGCTCCTTGCCGGTCAAGGCCTCTTGTTCCAATCGCTGGAACGTGTCCTCGAGTTGCTTCACCTCGAAGGGTGCAAATTCAAAAGAACAAATGTTGCCTGTGGCGGCCATTCCACAAAATGATATTGCCATCCCATTAAGGCCAGTCCCTGTCCCCTGAAACACTGTTTGGCAAAGCTAGTTTCGCAGAAGGACCCACCTCCCAAAATATATCTTTGCTCTCGCCTTCACAAAGCTTTCTCACACCGTCCGCAGCCCGTGTTTTGCAAAGCACTACTACATTAACGAAATGAAATAACAATGGTTAAACAAGTTTTGATCAATACTCCATTACTATACTTGAAATGACCCAATAGCTGCCCACCTGGCATTTCAAGTTCTCATTCTCCGACTTCAGTTTCTGCAACTCCAACTGGTCCTGCTGCAACTCCATCACTTCTCGCTTGACACTCAAGCTGCCATCCTTCAACTCCTGGAGTTCTTCCCTCATCCTTAGCAGTTCATTCTCCTCAGTCATGCTTTGTGCCGGCACTTCCTGTGCCACTTCGGCACTTCTCCTGCCCTGCGGAGTTGCAGCAGTAACTCCCCTTCTTGCGAGTATGCTTTGCGCTTGCACTTTGAGATCTTTCAAGTCCTCAAGGGACAAATCGTACTCCACTGGACCAGGAGGACCTTCACCACAAGTTGCCTTGAGTGCACAAATTGGGCTGCAAAAGTGGCGACACCAATTGATCGGTTGGTCGGGGTTCTTGCGGTTCTTGACTTGGTCCCACTCTTCGGAGGCTTTTTGAATCAAAGCGCACAAATGCTCCAACCGCGATATCTCCTGGTCGCACAACTTGGAGCCGCCGCCTGTGATCCGAGCCCAGAGTTCCCGGAGCAACAGGTGAAGGACTTCTGTGGCCGATGGGATTCCTGTGTTCTTCAATGATACCAGCGCAGTCAACCAATGCACCAGCTTTGCTCTCAAGTCTTGCATGCGCTGGTCTATGCGCTCAAAAAAACACGGTTCCTTCTACAGGCCTTTGCTTCAAGAAAGACTTGACCTTCTCCAAATCATCTCGCAACACCTCCTCCGAAATCGTGGCGATCCAAGGCTCGAAATCATCAGCACCATGGAGCTCCAGCAGACTCAAGTCCTGCCCGTACTTCTGGCACAGTTGATTCTTACAGGGCGGCGGCAGACGGGATCCCGCTTTTGACCTTGACGCTGCAGCCACATTATGGCGCCACTTTCCTAGTACTGCGACGTTACATTCCCTGACGCCACATTCCCCCCCGACGCCGCATTACCCCCTGACGCCGCATTCTGGCGCCGCATTCCCTGACGCCACATTACCCCCTGACGCCACATTACCCCCTGACGCCGCATTCTTCCCTGACGCCACATTCCTCCCCTGACGCCACATTACTCCCTGACGCCACATTTGACGCCACATTCCCTGACGCCGCATCCCCCCCTGACGCCGCATTCCCCCCTGACACCGCATTCTGGCGCCGCATTCCCTGACGCCACATTGCCCCTCTGACGCCGCATTACCTCCTGACGCCACATTGTGGCGCCACATTCCCTGACGCCGCATTTGCCCGTGACGCCACATTACTCCCTGACGCCGCATTCTGGCGCCGCATTCCCTGACGCCACATGGCCCCTTTGACGCCGCATTACCCCCTGACGCCACATTGTGACGCCGCATTCCCTGACGTGACAGGACCCCGTCTGATGCTCCAAACTGCACGAAACGGTTCTTCGTAGCAGGGGCCGTTTTGACACTGTTGAAGCAGCAGGCAACCCCAACACATGTCCAAGATGTGGCAGAACACACAGCGCAACAATTGGACATTGCACACAGCACATGAAGCGGCAATCAAAGATTTCTGATGCTATAAACTGCATCTTCAGCCATCGGCACATATCTGCTCAATCCGATCCAACATTGCCATCAGAATTCGTCTGCGGAAAGCAAATTCGGGGTCTAATTCGTCTTCGGAGAATTCGTCTGCGGAAAGCGTCTTCGGGGTCTA